ATATGAGAATCCGGGCTTTGAATCTTGATCTCCAAGGACCTGGCCCAGGGATGCTACTCCTAGGGCGGAGGCTTCCTCGCCGTTGCTGCGTTCAGTAGAAGTGCTGTGTAACATTTCTCACACCCAGATGTCCTGGTGCTTGGAAGAGAAGCGGTGGGCACGAGGGAGCCACCAACAGGCTAGATCAGGGGTCTCCAAACTTGGCAACTTTAAGACCCATGGACTTCAATTCCCAGAATTCTCTAGCCAGTATGGCTGTGTTCTCACTTTAAGGATCTACTGCATGGCTGGCTGGGGGATTCTGGGAGTCGAGGTCCACAGTCTGAAAGTTGCCCTGTCTGGAGATCCCTGAGCTACGGAACTTGCAGCTCTGCAGCCAGTGGAGGAAGGAGAGACAGACTCCCCTTCCCACCAAGTACTTGGAGATGGAGAATCTTAGCCCACCTCCAGAAAACGAAGGAGTGGAAAACTGGAAGGGTTTGTGTTCTGCCTTCCAAGCAAAAGTTTCCATATATATATTTCCATCTTCATCATCTCCATGGTCATCTCTCTCTCTGCCCCTCTATTACCCTCCTCTCTATCCAGCTGAGGGTTCTGGAAGAGGTGAGCCCAACACATCTCAGAGGTGCTCGATGGAACCTCCACACTAGGCCAGTCCCTACAGCCCCTTTCCTGTTCTGACCCAAAAGCTCCGGATGGCATGCAGGCAGAGGGTCTCAGGACAAGAAATGCCTCTGGGCGGCCCAGTTCTTGTGCAGTGCAGCCAAGCAAGGAGGGGCCTGTGGAAGAGAAAAAGCAACCACATTTCTGGAAAGTCCCCTGCCTGTTGACTCAGTGGCTCCCCAGTTTGGTTAATTTCTTTGGCTGCCTGTAATTAGTCTGCTTGGCTTTCCAGAGGAGACAAGCCCATCCATTGTTTGGAAGGGAGAGTAGGCAGAAAGCAGTGAAATAGTAATCAAAGTTTTCTCCAAGGGGAATTCGGGGGAGAGTGCCATCTGCCTACTCATCAGCAGCCAGAGGAAATTACATCTCCCAGTTCTGCAGAATTCTTAGAAACACATCAATTGCACGGTAAGGTTGGACCTGCCAGGAACACCTTGGGTTTTGTCAAGGCAGGGACCTGGAGGAAGGGTCCGTGGACGGAAACACCCCCTGGCGTCTGCAGGGGGCCAAGATCTCCAAGAGGGAAGCTGCAATCCAGACTCTCTCTGTTTCCGTGCAACCACCAACACCCCCGTTTCTCTTTCAAATTGTTCCACCCTGCAAGCTTTTTTTAAATCAAAGGATAAATCTGCAAGAATCGATTAGTTGGGAGAGGCTGATCTGGGCTTCCTGGGACCCAGTTGAGCTGCCAGGGAAGGCCCCCTCAGCTGGGATTTGGCCTGGTGGCCCTCAGTGATATCCAGTAGTCATAGGATTTACTCAGGAGGATCTCTAGGGACGGGCTCCCCAATGCAGGTTCCTATTCCAAGGCCCTCTATGGGGGCCAGAGGGAGCTGCATGGGGCTCAAGGGTTATGCCTGGCTGGGGGATTCTGGAAGTTGAAGTCCAAAGTTGCCAAGGATGGACATCCCTGAGTTCAAGGGCTTGGTCTCCAGTGATTGGTATTCAACCCTCAGGAAGCTGGAACTGCAGCCTAGGGGACACCCTTTGCATGCTGGCTTGTACTGGAAGGCAGGGAGGAGCTGGGGTTAGGTGTTCATCAGCTTCCAGTAGGCCTTGAACATCAGCTGAACATTAGCTTCCAGTAGGCCTTGGCAAGGAATGCTGGTTGGACCACTAGGTCTCCAGCTGCCCTGGCAGGAGAGGGTGCCAATGTTGCTGGAGTCTGGTTAGGGATTCACTTGCCCCGCAACACTTACGAAATAACTACGATTGTGGCCACCCCACAGCAGCCTTCTCTCTCCCTGCTGCCTCTCTTGCTTGGCCTGCGGATGCTTCTCCGCTCTGCATTCCTGGAGCCTGTCCCCACGACACCCGTTCCCCAGCCAGCTGCAAGCAAAGCCCCAAACTCTGCAGGTGCCTCCGATTCAAGAGAAGAAGAAGGGTCCATTTCAAGCCACGTTGGCCAAGAGTGTTGTGTGAATGCCAGAATGATCTCTTGCCCTCCTGAGGCTTCCTGCTTTTGCATCTCGGCTTCGGGAACCTAGCTCTTAACGCCTTTGCCCCCTCCTAATAAGAGCATAAGAGCCCCAGCGGGCCTACCATCCCTGTCCTAATGTTCCCTTTATTGGTATTCATTTTATGTATTCAATTCATGCTTATTCTTAGATGTGTTATATAATACGTACTTGACAAATAAATAATCATAACAACAATAACAACAATAACAACAATAATAATCACCCCCTGTTTGCTCCATTGAGTTGCCCCCCCTCCCATCTCTGCCTTTCTGGTCCTTCAAAGGGGGGAGCTCAGGAGCCGCCTTTCTCCCCACTGGCCACTGCCGTTTCTGTCCTGTGAGTTGTAAAGGAGGTTCCAGAACAGAAAACCCTGAAGGCGAGGGCCAATTAAAGCTTAATGCACACCTGCTGGAAAAGAGGAAAAGAAGGAAAAGCTAATTTATTTGGGTGGGGGGGGGAGGGGGGCTGTGCTGCTCTCGTATTGTGTTCCGGGGAAAGGCACTTCTTTCATGAGCTTCATGTGCAGAAGCCAGAACCATTCCATTTTCAGGGTTAGCGCTGCACGTCCAATAAAACCACCTCAGTGGCGTCAGGGCTTATTAATGGACGTATTAATGGCTTTCGAGGGTTGGGTGATGTCCTCCTCCTCCTCTGCTGAGAACAGCATTTCTCCCCCTCCCCCACCCCCTCCACATCTTGCAGCCACTTGGCTTTCCTCTAATCCTTGCTTTCGGCTGCTGGCAGTGCAAACATGACTGCTTGGAGGACGGTGTGTCCAGAGTAGTCCGGAGGGAACTGGACCAGCCTGAGTTTCCTTCGTGTCCAGCTCATGTGCCTTTGCTCCAGCCAAGAGGTCACACATGGGATCATCGCTCAGAAGTGTGGTAGAATCTCACATTCACACAGACTGGAGGGAGGCCGAGAATAGAGTCCTTGCACTGCAGTAAGCGGCACCAGACTGGTCTCTCCCCAGAATCCCTGCAGCCTTCTCTGACCGCTCCCAGGCGAGAATCTTGTAACCTGGAGGACTAGCAGCGAAGCTTCTGCTTGAGGCTGTTCATGGGTGGCTCTGGTTGCGAGATGGAGCTCCAGTCTTTAGGCCACTGGTCATTAGCCATGATGGGGGGTTGAGTGGATCTTCAGAGGTGCCGAGGTGGGCCATAGACAGTAGGACCCCCGTTCTCTGCTGAGTCTCCTCCCAGTCTGAACAAGCAAGGTGAAGAGGTTCTTTTTCTGATTGTCTGATTCTTGCTCGGGCATGGAGTCCTGCCTCTGGGATTTTGGACAGGAGTCCCCAGAATTTCCACCGGTGGCAAAGGTCCACCAGATTGGAGAAGGCTGTGATATGATAAGAGGACAAAGGGGTATTGGGAGGTGGCCTAGTTTCCTTTCAATGACCTTGTGGAGTGATACCGTGTTTCCCCAAAAATAAGACCCTGTCTAATATTTTTTGAACCCTGAAATAAGCGCTTGGCCTTATTGCCATGCGCTCAAAAGCCCGATTGGGCTTATTATCAGGGGATGCCTTATTTTGGAGAAAACAGGGTACTTGCAGGTAAGTACACTGAAGATAGCTGCTCAGCTTACCTGGGAACAGGTGGAAACACTTGCTGTGTGATCTCCCCTCTGCCTTCACCAGGTGGGTTTGCAAATGGCCATCTGAGCCTCAGTTTCCCTTTCTCAGGAATACGGCCTGCCAACCCTGCCCTACCTTGGAGGCCTCTGGGATTAATCACAACTCTGAAGATCTAATTCCCTCATCTCCCCTCGCTGCAGCAAATTCCTCTTTTTGACGGTTGTCTGCATGATTGCCCCACAATCTGTTCTCACAGGCCGTTTGTGGTGATTTGGACACGGTGTTGCTTAGCAAGACAGGGATGACTTATTTAGGGGTTAGGTTGTTTGGAGAAGATGAATTGCCCGCTGTGGAAGCGGCTCTTATTGTTGTAAATTGGGGCAGAAATGGCAGAGGCGTTGGTTAAACGAAGGTGGGTTTCTCGTTCCACCCATGAAATGTGCAGGAATGGAAGCCCATGAGGGCAGTTGTGGTGAAGGGCCTTTTCAGGGTATGATGGATGGGGAAGGTCAACCAGGAGATCGGGGCCTCTGCTGGTTTGTGGATTCATCCCATTTGCCCACCAGATTCTGCAGAGCTTGAGCTGGCACAGATACAGTTATGAACAACCGAGGGAATGGCTTCGCGTAGTTTTTGAAAATTTCTCTGTATGCATAATTAGGCTTGATGACTAACAGTTTGGATGCGTTTGCTTTTTCCTTGAGATGAGAGCGAAATCATCTTTGTGTGGAGTTAATCCAGCAGTGATGGGCACGTGGGAACCGGCCGTTGAGGCAGAGAGAGTAGAAGGGTCCCTGGTGCTCTCTGAGCTTGCTTCTTTTCTTGCAGATGTTTCATGACCCTAACTAGGTAACATCATCAGTGCTGGTAGTGACTACTATCGGTAGCACTGATGACATTCCCTAGTTGGGTCACGAAACGTCTGCAAGAAAAGAAGCAAGCTCAGAGAGTACCAAGGAACCCTCGTTTCAACCCTGAGCTACAAATCTTCTCCACTACAGTAGAAGCTGCAAGGCAGTTTCACTCACCAGAAATCGTAGCTGGGAAGACACACTCTTGAGTAGAGGTGGAGGGATGAGCCAGTGGACGTGGGCGACCCAAGAGAGAGTGCCAGGCCACAGGGCGCAGGGGAGTACGTGGGAAGAAGCCGCTTTCAGGGTCGCAAGCCAGGAGCCCCTCAAATGAAAGTCCTCCCCTTGCTGATTTTAATCCTGGAAGGAGCAGAGGGACCGTGAGGGAGCCCCACTTCTTCTCCGGCCTAACACGAAGCCACCCTTCCTTTTCTCTCTTGCCCTTTGCAGGATGAGATGTCGACCTTTTTCCAGTTTGGGGCGTCCATCCAACAGGAGGCCATCATCATGCTGAAGTTCATGCAGTACTACGACTGGCACATATTCTCCGTGGTGACCAGCATTTTCCCTGGCTACCGGGACTTCATTAGCTTCGTCAAGTACACCGTGGAGAACAGTTTTGTGGGCTGGGACATGCAAAATGTGGTGACCCTCGACGCGGCCATCGGAGATGCCAAGTCCACAATTCAGCTGAAGAAGATCCACTCTTCGGTCATCCTGCTCTATTGCTCCACGGACGAGGCCACCTACATCTTGGAGGAAGCCCGGTCCTTGGGCTTGACAGGCTATGACTTTTTCTGGATCGTCCCCAGCTTGGTCCGTGGGGACATAGAAATCCCACCTGACAATTTTCCAGCAGGGCTGATTTCAGTGGCCTATGATGGGTGGGACTACAGTTTGGACGCTCGGATCCGGGATGGTCTTGGGATTATTACAACGGCCGCTGCAACCATGCTGGAGAAATATTCCTTCCTCCCCGAGGCCAAGACCAGTTGCTACGGGCAGTCGGAGTACAGCGAACAGCCATCTCACATGCTTCACAAGTAAGGCTTCTTTTGTTCCCTAAAGCCCTGGGGAATAAAACCATCGGTTTTTGAGAGGTTGAGCGATGCTTGTCTGTGTCGACTAAGGGCATCCTTCGTCCATGCAGGGAAGCGTTTGTAGAAGGCCGAAGCCCTCAGCAGTTGCCTCCGGTGGCCTTGTAGGTCAGGCGGTCTGATGTTGGCTGGGGCAGGGAGGCAGGGAACTAACCCAATTAGGCTGGTTAATTTAGCCAGGAAACATCCTGAAGAATCTGGTGGGTTGTGACCGCTGGTTCAAGGGAGCCGGGGTGGCTGCAGGCAGCTCCTTCTATGCAAGGACATGGAGCTCATCCGAGGCTGGCCAGCAGAGGAAATTCAGGCTGCTTGTCTCATCTGCACGTGGCTGAAAAGCCAGATTCCATTCGTAAGGCCTTGAGCCAGGAGGAGCTGGTGATGTCACTGGATGCAGAACGGGTGGCCACCCTTGGATAAATGGCTCTGAACTGACCTTTGCCCTCTGTCCCAGTCAGCACAGGCTGTCTTTCTGGGGGTGGCCCGTTGGTCTCAGTCAGTGCTCGTGCCCTAAACCCTCCCCAGGCTCCTTCGCTGTCTTTACCAGCGGCTCCAGGCCGAGAACATTAAGCAACGCAAGTAGGTGCCAGAGCCCAGAGCTCCTTGGCCAGGCTGCCTCAGTGGAGGAGCAAGGACAAGTGACCTTGGAAGGAGGGTGGCTTTAAGAAGGGGAGGGCCGAGATCCGAGAAGGGTCAGTTTAATATTCAGAAACCATTCCGCAGGAATCCTGGAGATACAGCCTCCAACCTTGGCTGTTGTAACCTGAATACAAATAAGAGGCAGGTTTGAAAAACAGTCCTTACTACTAGGGGGCAGGGCTGCCTTTAGTTGTAGGTTTCCTTCTTTAATGGCCAGTGGCTTTTCCCCCTCTTGATGTATGGGGTTGTTGATGAAGCCCAGAAGTGGCCCATCTCTGCAGATATGAAATAAGCACGGAGGAATAATGGTTTGGTGAGCGGCTGCGTTCGTGGCATCTGTGCTACTGCAGATACCGATCCCCCCCAAATCCCTCTCCCCTTTTCCCAGGGGGCACCTCTCAGCAGCCTCTCGCCTTCATCTCTGCAGAGTGCCGGATATTGATCACACTTTTCCCAAATGTTGTCCGCTTTGGGCAACACAAATCATGAATCTGGATACAATCACCCATGGACTGGCACTGATAGTTTTGCAGCCAGAAGGCTAGAGATTCACTTTAGGACTCTTTCCCCCCGTGTGGTGGCTCCCACCCTCCACGAAAGCATTGAGCCAAATGCTGCTCTCCAGCCTCCCTCAGGAAGCTGGGATTTGCTTCTGTTGCCACATCCTTCGGTTCTAAGGACGGGGAGGGGGGCACCAAATCACTGGCTGGACTCCCAACCCGTTGCTGACACCGTCCTGATCCCAAGGCCACAATCCTGCCCAGTCGGGCTGCTTCCTGAGGTCTCCTCCAGCCCTGGTTAGCAGCCACCAAGGAAGGAAGCAGATCAACGGGCAGCTGTCCTTGGTGCTGCAGGCAGCAGCCGAATCTCCTGACGCAGCTGCAGTTTCTCCTTCGGGAGCCACCGCCTAAGCCACGAATGAAGCTCCTTGACCAACTCCTCCACCCTTCCTGATGGCCTTGGCCCTCTGAGCCACGTGGCTGTCTTGCCTTGTCCCCCACCCCCACCCAAAACTTTACTTTTGCAGTGTGAAGGCCTGCAGGCAAATGCGTACAGACTTGGGTGATGTCCGTAGGCATCCCAATCCCGGTGAAGAGGGCCTTTTCCGGGTTCTGAAAAGCCCAGGGCCACCATGTCCCCCTGAGCCCCCCCCCCCCGCATCCTGTTCTCGCTGCTGTCAATGCAGCATTTTTCCTCTTTGCTTCCTGTGCCCATTGAAGCCATGGCCTTGCAAGAGAGAGAGAGAGAGAGAGAGAGACGCTGGAGTGTGTGTGCTTGTCATTCCTGTGATGCGGCTGCCTTTGTTAACTGTTGCCAGCCTGCACGGCCCTTACACACAAAACGCCTCCTTCAAATGGAACACGATCCTGTTTGCACATCCCCCTGCAGCCGAGGAAGGCAGGCAGCAAGCCCAGAAGCAACAGCCAGGATGGGGCTGGATTGACTTCCCTGCTCCCTTCTCGCTTGACTACGGGCTTAAGGCACAAGCTTCTGAACCCTAAATTACCTGGGAGCTTCCAAAGACTTTATGGGAAAGCAATTTGGAAGGGGAGGAAGTTGTGAATGAAGGGCAGAAAAACGGAAGGGGAAGAGCCTTTCAGGGACCAGGAGAGATGGAGAGGGGGGAAGGTGGTTGAGTCTTACAGCATAGAGCATGTCAACTTGCCATGGCCAACTCACCACGGGACAAGAGTTAACACTAATATCAAAGAAATGGTGGAATGGGGTCATTAAAGAAAGGATGCAAAAAGAGGGACCGAATGAAATGTGAATGACACAAATTAAAATAATTTTAAATTTATTTTAAATAATTAAATTGAATTGTTAAATTGCTCTGTGGCGAGTTGTCCTGCAGTGAGTTGGCTGTGGCGAGTTCTCCCATTGGAGGGACCAACAACAGAAGTTTTTTTTTGTTATTTTGTTTAAAAAAGGTTTCTCTTGAGTGGAGCTCAGGTGTTAGGAACAGCATGGAAACAGTTTGCTGCAGAAAACTAGAGTTTTCCAATTTCCTGCTGTAACCTGTTGGGATTTTCTGGTGTCCCCCATCCATCTCAAAGGATCTGTCTATCTGTCTGTCTGAGCCTGTGTTGTCTTTCTGTTTCCAAGACGGGTGGAAGGGCAAAGAGTGTGATAATCACATGACTGGAAGATCCTGCTTCCTCCTGCCTGAGATTTTAAAGCTGGAACCAGGGACTCCTCCTTAGACACCCAATTCTCGAGTGTTGCTCAAGAACGCTCCTTCCTCATGACTCTTGGCCTAGATATCCCTTGCATTGATTTAATCTGACATGAGTAGCATTCCGCTGATCGAAGAGCCAAGAAGCGGATGCCAACAAGGCTGCATATCAGAAGTGGACCAAACTGACATTCTAAGTTGAAGCCCTCCGTTATGGCAAAGGAGCTCTCAGCCGTTCCCTGGAGAAGGGGAAGCTGTAGCTCGTTTCCTTGATGAGAAGGCTGAGCTGAGGCCTGGAGGGTTGAAAGGACTGATGTACAATTAGAGAGCATTGTAATGGGTGTGTGTGTGCGTGTGTGGAATTTAGGCCAGATAGGTGGTGAATAAAGAGAGTGAGGCCAGTTGCTTGGCCTTCCTTCCCAGTTCATCCCTCCCTTCCTTTTGGCTGGAACAGAAATGGGTGCTGTGACTTCATCTTCTTCCCAGTCATGAACTTGCTTGGTGGAAGCGTGTCTGCTTTGCTGCCTGTTGGTCATGAGAGCCGTATCTGTCTTCCAGCGGAAGGGACAAACTCTCCCCGGGTGGGCAGGGGTGAAACCTGAGAGGGAGATGACTGGGCCTCTTCCAAAGGCATCCGATGGCCCCTTATGAGAAACCAGCTGGGCATCTGCAGCAACCCTGGGAAGGGGTTGGTCTATTCCAGGTGGCGTTGGGCAGAGGAGGGAGATCCCTACTTAGACTTTGAGCAAAGCAGCTGCAGCCGCCAGAGTCCCACCACCACCAAAACACCGGTGACTGTGCCAGCTTAACAGCCAGAGGCCTTTCCTTCTCCCAGCTGTCCGGCTTCAGGGTTTTGGCTGGGCTCCAAGAGGAGGTTTAGTGGTTTGCAAGTAAGGTGTTGGTTGGGTCTTTTCCCCCCATTATGAAGAGGAGGAAATTTTGGACCAGAACAGGCAGGGCTGGTTGAAGACGTCCTGCACCAAGGGTGGAACCCGGAAATATTAATGCCATTGACAGAGCTTTCCATAATTCCTCTTTCTTGTGCATTCCTGAACGGAGGGTGGTGTGGAGCGTGGATGCCCCCGTCTCTGGGTTAGACTCGTTGCTTCCTCCGGCTCAGTTGTGTCTCCCCTCCCTTTCCACTCAGCAAGTGCTCCGGATGTAACGAAATGGTGAGAAGTTAAAAGCGTGAATTAAACTGATGATTGAAACCAATTGAGGGTTAAAGGCCTGATGCCTCTTTGCAGAGCGGAGGGGGGGGGGGAAAGGAGCAGGCAGCTCCTGTGGAGTGTGTGTGTGTGTGTGTGTGTGTGTGTGTGTGTGTGTGTGTATTTGTGGTCCTGGGAGCAAAGCAGCAGAGGGCCCCTTGCAGGTGTGAGGCAGGTGCAAGACCCACTGCAGGCCTTTTGAGGCAGGCGTTGTGGGATCCGCCTGCTTTTAGGCTGCTTGCCAGCCTCGTCTGCTGCATTCTGCACCGGTTGCCACTTCTGGGGCCTGTGACCAAGATGGCATCAGGCACTCAGGCAAGGCCAGTTTACGGGATGTTTCTCTTGGCCCAGCCTCCCTCTGCCCGTTGCCATCCCCCTGCGGGTTTCAGGAGGGTGGGGAGTGGTGGAATTCCTCTGAGACGACATTCAGCACCTCAAGCGTTGTGCCCCTCCAGCGCAAGGAAGTTGTTTCCGCGTAGTATTTTTTTACTTGCTTTTTAACTGCCGTTGCAATGTTTGTGAGTGTGGTGGTTGTGCTCTGCACCGGAGTATATCGCACACACAGGCAGCTGTAATATTGCGTTGACTGCCCTGCCAGCGCGGTGCTTTCCGGTTGTTACTCCCAAAGGTTTCACTAAAACGGCCTCATTCCCACATTATCCCTGTCCTTGTTTTGCCTTGTTGCGTATTTTATCCCTCGGGACAATAATTTTTCACCGGTTTCGTGGCAGAGGGGGTCCCCGCACATCTGCAAGCCAGAACCGACCCTCGAATTGGACCGAGTTTGCAAGCGTCCCTCTCTGCTCTCCAGGGAGGGCTCAAGCCGGACGGGCTCCTGGCTGCTTTCCAGCCACCGAACTGGCCGGGCTGGAGAGGTCCCGTTTCCCCCACTATTTTCACAGCTGGCCACAAGGTGGCCCCCTTGCGTTGCCCAACCGCCTCCGAAATAAACCCCCTTCTAATAATTGCATTTATGAGCAAGGCGAGCGGTTTTTTTTTTTTAAAAAAAAAAAACCATTCCTTCCCCCTATCTGATGTCCCTCTCTGAGTTAGGCTGACCGGGTCTGTGTGTCCAACTCTCTCCGCAGCTTCCTCCACTGCAGCCCTCAGCAGCCCCAGGCCAAGACAGCTGCCCACTGGGTCCCAGTAGATTTTGTGTTCCTGTTTAAAGGATGTGTTTTGAAGGCAGCCTTAAAAGTCCATTTAAAAGCAGACGTCCGTTTGCCAGCCCTACCTGGAAATGCCGCAGGTTGGACAGAAGATCTGGGTCTGGAGTTCCTTGGGATATTGGCCCAAGGAATCTGATGCCCCTTAAGGACCCCAGCCTTAAAGATGCCCAAACAGTGAAGGGATAAACAGTGCAGAAGGGCTGGTTGCCTAAGGACAAGAGCAGAGGATTGAGTGGCCTTTCCTTCCTGGGCATCTCAAGTTGGCGCCTCTTCCTCCCAGCTCCTTCCTGGCATCGGTTCCCCCTTGCCAGTCCCTTCTAGGTCCACCCTTGGATAGGAAGCAAAGGCCACTCTCTTAATGGGACTCATGGCCAGGCATGCGTGGGATGGATTGGATCCCGGCTCCTAAAAATGGGTTCTTCGCAACAAAGGGAGGATTTATAGCATATGTTTCATCGGAGTTAATCCAGTGACTGAATTAGCTTGCTCATTAACTGCTGGACAGCTCATTAATTTCTCTTTGAACATTTCCTTTCTTTCAAGGTTTATGATGAACGTGACTTGGAAAGGCAGAGACTTATCCTTCACCACAGATGGCTACCAAGCCCAGCCGCGGCTCGTGGTCACCGTCCTAAACGAGAGCCGGGCCTGGGAGAAGGTAACCGGGAGGGCTGGGCCAGCAGAGAGAGGAGGGGCTTGTTTTGCAAAGCCAGCACTTCCACTCGGGCAACGAGGGGGGGTGTCTGTGAGTGCAGCCGCCTTCAGAGTTTGTTCAGGTGTGCCTTTCCCCTCCCAGGGACTGTTGGTGGGGCAAAGGCTTTGATTAAAAGGTGGCGTTATACCTTCTTCTTGGGAGAGGCAGACCCTCCCTTTGGACAGCCAAGGAGGCCCAGAATGGACCCCCAAGAGTCTCAGGTAGGAAACGTTCCAGAATCTGTGATCCCGCAGAGCTGCTGGGAGGCAGAGTCCGCAGTGCTGACACATGGAGAGCGAGACCGGATCTCCAACCGACCAGCTTTCCACAGGGCGCCTGAAGCCCCCTGGTGCAGTGCTGGCAGGTGGGCTTGGCCTGCAGCTTGGAGACCCTTGTTTTCAAAGAGCTCAGAGGGTCCAAAGCTTCCCCTGCCTCCCACCTGGGAGAAATCTTGACTAATCAGATGAGGTGGGGCTGGAGTGGTTTAGGGAGGCTGGCCCTAACCCCGAAAAATAGTTTAAAAAAGGGGTGCCGATCGATGCAGGCTTAGTTCCTGGATGCAGCTGCAGAATCAGTTTAACTAGGTGGGGAAAAGCAGGCTCTGTTTAGGCTTTTTCATCTTTCGATTTGCAAAGTTTTCAAACTGAAAGTGTCTTGAAATTGGGGCTTTCCTGTGTAGGTGAGGAATACCTGGTCTGGTGTAAAGAAACGCCAGGCCTACATGGTAGACCAGGCTAAGAACCAACACTATGTGGCTCAGTGCTACTCTTATTGTAAAGCTATAGTAAGAAAATCTTACATCGCTGAATGCGCCTCCCCCTGCCTGCCTTTTTCTTCACGTGAATGAAGGAGGGCCTTGTCCGAGATATTTGCTCACGTTGCTTTCGTGGCCTGGACTCAGATCCCCCTTCTCTGACCGTAGAGGCTGTTCTTCCTTCCGTCCTGCAAGGCCCTTCCCTCCACCCTCTGCCCCCTTCTTACTTTCTGAGGACTTCACCTGATTTTCTCCCAGTGGAGCAGAACAAGGGTGCACAGTAAAAAAAAAAAAAAAAAAACCCACACACTTACATATAGATAAAATATTTGCAAAGATCATTTTTAAAGAACACCCCTCCCCCCCATGGTCTTTCCGCAGCAGGAAGCAGCCGTTTGTAGCTATCGTGTACCTTCACCGAAAAATAATTGAAATAAATGGCTCATGTGGTTTAATAGGGGAAGACGTTGTCCAGCGTTTTTTCCCTATTAAAACAATGCATTGACTAAACATTGCCATTTAATTATGATTAGTAATTATTTTAATGCCGGGGCTGGTGGAAATGTTACCTGGCTGTTTGAAGTGTGGCTGGATGTGTGTTGGATTATTCTGAAGGTCCATAGGAGGGAAGGCTCTGTGTGTGTGTGTGTGTGTGTGTGTGTGTGTGCAACCTTTTGCCTCCTGCTGTAGCCCCAATCCATTTCAGGCGTCTGTTCCTGAACGGATGGCGTTGTCTTGTGTGTGTGTGTGTGTGTGTGTGTGTGTGTGTGTGTGTGTGTGTGTCTACTTGAACACTGCAAACGGGAGCCCTGAAGGGTCCATCTGGGTGAGAGTTTCTGGCTGGGCAGTCAAGCAAACAGACTCCAATTGTAGTCTGAGGTTACTGGATTTAAAGCCGAGAGCATTTTGTCCTGGAGAAATCCTTTGACATCTGGATGGTGCCTGTGACTCCAGCAAGAATTCCTGGTCGATATGTGAGCCCTTCTGTGTCTCAGAGAATTCCTCCCTGTAAACCTGGCTGCCTGCGCCGTGATCTGAATTTGTCTCCGAAAACAGGAGTGGGGGGGAGAGGAGGGGAGCAGGCAGGGTCACTTCCATCCCTTTCTCCCCTTCTCCTCCAGGGGCTCTTTGCCCAACTTCGCCAGGGCTTCTCGCCCCACTGAAGGGCCATTTGGGCCTGGGGTGAATGTCAAGAGTTTCCATCAGAGCAGCCGAAAGTCAGAGCGCATTAATTCAGAGGAATGGCAGTTCTTGGCGCTATTGAGTTGAAGTGGTGGTGGGGGGGCAGGAAAGGGGGTCGGGGGGGCACAGCCTGGCCGAATAGACCCGACTGACCTAGAAGTGACTCAAGAGGGGAGTATAAGAAACGAGGAAATGAATCTGTGGACAGACGGTTAGTAGAGCCAGCACCAACCCTGGAAACCCTGCAAGGCAGCACAAACTCTTCAGGCTTCTTCCTTGCAAAAAAAAAAAAGAGTTTGAAAATGTCTTCCTGTTCATGCAAAGCACCAACTGCAAGGATCTGATCTTAAACAAAGCCCAGGGACAAACCATCCCAGGATCCTAAGGGACCTTCCCCCCTCTCGCCCCTTCCATTCTTCTCCCTGGAAGTGGGGCTGCCACTCACCTGCGCCCACCTGCCTGTCTTGGCTCCTCAGGTGGGCGAATGGGAGAACCAGACGCTGACCCACAAATACTCGGTCTGGCCCCGGTTCAACTCTTTCAACGACAGCGACCCGGACCACAACCACCTCAGCATCGTCACCCTGGAGGAGGCGCCCTTCGTCATCGTGGAGGACATGGACCCCTTGACGGAGACCTGCGTGAAGAACACGGTGCCCTGCCGGAAATTTGTCATCATCAAGTAAGCCCAGGGGTCTCTCGCCCTTCCTGAACCCCAGCCCTCCCCTCCGTTTCCCCAAGAGCTGCGAAGGTCTGGGAGGGTCTTGAGGTGGGGGCCCTGGTTGCGCATCCGCCCCTTTGCCCTTTATTTGGATGTGGGGGTGTCCTGCCCTCCCGCTGGGGGGCCCCCTAACCCCCTTGCAAGGGGAAGGCGCCTTCCAAGGATGCTGGCATTCCTTGGCAGGCATTGAAAGGGCCCTTTTCCCATTTCCTCTTGATTTTCTAGTGGCCTATTTAGGTTGTCACGATCAGTCAAAGTTGACTAAGAGCTGCCTCCCATCTGGGTTTGCAACCAAAGCTGTTCCTCTACCTGTCTTCTTCCTTCTTCCTCCTTTAAAGCTAAAGAAAGGGAGGGAGGAAAATTGACCTGTGTGCTTCTCTCCTCAGCAACATCACCAAAGAAGGGAAGAACCTGAAGAAATGTTGCAAAGGGTTTTGCATCGACATCCTGAAGAAGCTCTCAAGGACCATCAAGTTCACCTACGACCTCTACCTGGTGATCAACGGGAAGCATGGGAAGAAGATCAACAACGAGTGGAATGGAATGATTGGGGAGGTACGTTCCGCAGCCGGAAGAGCCGCTCAGCTCGGCCAAACTCCTCTCCTCTGCTTGAGCTGGAGCTTCCCCTTCCCCTCTTTTCCCTTTGCCAACAGGTGGTCAAGAAGCAAGCCGTGATGGCTGTTGGGTCCCTCACCATCAATGGGGAGCGCTCGGAGGTGGTCGATTTTTCGGTGCCCTTTGTGGAAACTGGGATTAGCGTCATGGTCTCACGGAGCAATGGCACAGTTTCTCCATCTGCTTTTTTAGGTGAGCTTCCATTCCTCCCATCCACCCATCCATCCATCCACCCAGGGGTGAAATCCAAATTTTTTCCATACTGGTTGCTGTGGGCGTGGCTTGGTGGGCGTGGCAGGGAAAGGATATTGCAAAATCCCCATTCCCATCCCACTCTGGGGCCAGCCAGAAGATGGTATTTGCCGGTTCTCCGAACTGCTCAAAATTTCCGCTACAGGTTCTCCAGAACCTGTCAGAACCTGCTGGCTTTGCAGAGTTGGCCCATCTGTCTTCTGAAGTTGGCTGTCATGGCCGTTCTGGGGTCCGAAGGCCCCCGTGAAGCTGGCTTTTCCTTCTCTTCAAGGCTGGTTTCTGCCTTGCTTGGGGCTTGCTCAGCCCTCCGGGTGGGACCCCACTTTCCCCTGGCAAAAGCAAGTCGGAAGGCGCCTCCTGTGAGCTCCACAGGCCAAGCTCCTTCCTAGGGGAAAGGCCAGGGAGGAGGGGGAGGCAGCTTCTTGGCTTCTTTTCTCTTCGCCAGCCTTGCAGGCACTCAAGACTTGCCTGCCCCAGGCGGCACTTGGGCAGAGAGCCTCGATCCGGAGGTGTCCTAACGATGTAGCCTCTGGGCCAGATACAGGGTGCCCTTCCCACAACCGCCCTCCCCCCCGCCTCTTTCTCCTCGCTTGGCCACAGGCGCCCTGCTTGACTTTCCTCCTGGTGGGCATCTGCAGCTGAGCCCGGCAGCCCCTTCCCTGAAGTTACTTGGCAGGGTGGGAGGGGGAGGATGCTCCTCCTCCCCCCCACCCTCTTCCTCCGGCTGCAGAGGCCTTCCGGGCCCTCCGGAGCTTTTCCTCCCATGTTTGCCGCTCACCAGTCTGCACTGCGGCTCAGCCAACGTGGCTGCGTTGTGAGAGGAGCAGCTGCAACTTGGCTTGTGCGGAGGGATCCCCTCCAGGGAGCCAAGGGAGGGGACGGGGTGGAGGTGGGGCAGGAGGGGGCGGCTGGCAGCTGGGGGTCTCCTTGCGTCATTGCTCCTGCTGCAGACAGGCTGTTCCACGGGGCGTTTCTCTCATTGCAGAGCCCTTCAGCGCCTCCGTCTGGGTGATGATGTTTGTCATGCTGCTGGTCGTGTCGGCCATCGCCGTCTTTATCTTCGAGTACTTCAGCCCGGTGGGCTACAACCGCAACCTGGCCCAGGGGAAAGGTAGCCCATTTCTGCCCCCCCCTCCGAGCTCCTGTTCAGCCAATGGGCCGAGGCCCCTCTGCGCACCCCCCACCCTCCAAGCAGGGGAAGCAGACAAGGGAGGGGACCTTTCTCCCTGACTTGCCGGTCATGGGTCACTCTGCCCAACCTCTTCACCTGGGGGAGGGTGCCCCATATGGGAGGCCGAGGTGGGGTCTTCCCACCATTCTTCACCTCTGCCAGCCCTGGCTCAGCAGCATTCAGAAGTGGCAGGGTCTTTGAGCCAGGAAGAAAAGGAGGAGTGGTTACTCAGTGGATCCTCCAGATTCAAGAGCAGTCTGGACGGAATGGACTTCTGGCCTGAGCTGCCCTGTCCTTACCTGCTTATTCTCAGCGTAGCTTTTCAGAGGGTTCTTGGTCCCCACTCTAGATGAGGAGGAGGAGGAGGAAGGTCTCATCAGCAGCAAGCCCTCCATGGGGCAGAAGGGCTATGGGCCCTGCTGGCTGGGATTCTGGTCCAGGGCATCTCCCCCCTCGCCAGATCTCCGGAGTCCACATCGCAGCCACGTCTGGCCTCCTTCTGTGTAGACGTGGCTCTGATTTCCTTTCCTTGGTGCGATGGAAATGACCCGGGACGAGGCTTAGCAACGGGAAATCCAATTCTGGTCCCAGGCGAAGGGCTGCCTGTGCTAAGGAGCAAACGGAGAGAGCTGGAAAGGGTTTGGCGGTTGTGTTGCGTGTACGGAGCGACCCCTAAGCTGAAGGGCCCCTCTCGCCCCCTTTGTCCCACCAGACGCTCACGGGCCCTCCTTCACCATCGGGAAGGCCGTGTGGCTCCTTTGGGGCCTGGTGTTCAACAACTCCGTGCCGGTGCAGAACCCGAAAGGCACCACCAGCAAAATCATGGTCTCGGTCTGGGCCTTCTTCGCCGTCATCTTCTTGGCCAGCTACACAGCCAACCTGGCTGCCTTCATGATCCAGGAGGAGTTCGTGGACCAAGTCACGGGGCTGAGCGATAAGAAGGTCAGTGGGGCAGTTCGCTCTTTCCCCTTCCAGACATTCTGCGGCATTTGAGGCCAGGACAAGACGGGCAGGCCCTGCAGGCACCCCCCCTCCCAATCCAGGCCCTTTGCACGCTTTGTCTGATGCAGGCGCTCACGCGAGCAGGTTGTAGGCTTTGCACACCTCTCCTTCTCATTCGTGTGTTTTTGTTGCCTACGTGCCTCTGCTGTCCGCTCGTTTGTGCCTGGTGGCTGCTGCAAACTGCTTGGCAAAATTCTGGAAGCTTCAGCTGAACTTATGTGATTAGGCTCCGATCGATAAGTTAATGGGATGCGCTTCTGCCCTCCGTGCCGGGACTTTCAGAGTGGTGGGGGTGGGGGCGGGGGGTGGTCACGGCAGGGTCCCTGGGGCTGCAGCAGTGAGGCAGGCCAGGCAGGAGGACGTGTGCGTGTGCGAGGAGGGTCTTCTTGGGCTCCTCCTGGGTTGGGGGTCTGCTCTTCCCCGGATGCTGCTGGCGAGCCTGGTGCCCCTCCATGCCAGCCTGGGCCTGGCCTCTAACGTCTTCTTTCCCCTTCCCCAGTTCCAGCAGCCCTACGCCTACTCCCCTCCTTTCCGGTTCGGGACGGTCCCCAATGGCAGCACCGAGAGGAACATCCGCAACAACTACAAGGAGATGCACGCGTACATGGTGAAGTACAACCAGAAGGGAGTGGAGGACGCCTTGGTCAGCTTGAAAACCGGGTAGGTGGGGCGCTGGTTGGGTTCCGTGGCGCTGCTTTTCTTCAGAGTGGCAGAACCTGATGCTGCGCAAGGCACAGCGGGGGCCCCAACTCGAGCATGCAGAGATCGCAAGGAGGCATCTTACCCCACATCGAGTCACCTATTGCGGGGTTTGGGGGGGCTGGAGCCTCCTAGAACAACTGTAGGAAAGCTTGCCCCATCTCTGCAGTTGTTTGACCCCCCCCCCCACGGAAGGGGCTGGCTGTCTCTCGGTCGTGGGCAGGAAAGGCTTAGCGGGGTGACAAATGGCTGAGCCTCCCTGGCCCCCCCCTGCCATCTCCCCCCTGCCCCCCTGCTTCTCCTGAAAGAGCTTGGTGGATTGCAGTCCTGCTAGTGAAGGGGTGGGGGTCCTTTTCGAGGGCTGCTAGGGATTATCCAGGGAGGTATTCCTGCCAGGAGGGTCGAGGCCCCCATGGAGAGCCTGAGGCCTCCCCAGCTGCCCCTTGCCAAGGACTCCCCCCTCCCTCCTTCTGCTCCCCCCCTCTTTCCAGATTGGTCGGCTCTGGCGATCCCCAGGTGCTCTGCCGCCTCTGCTGAGGGACGCTGCCTGCAGCAGACGGCGCAAATCGCCTGTCATGTCCCATGATTTGGTGATCAATATGCCACCGCTTTGGCTGCAGGCTCTGGAGCATTTGGGGGTTGATCCTGAGGAAGGGGGGGAGGGGGGAGGGAGGGAGGGAGCTGCAAAGAGCTGCTTTGAGGGAGGGAGAGAGAAGTGCCACGTTCCGAACATCTGCACCGCATTATCCTTGAAGGGCTCAGCTTTGGCAGGTGAAGAAATGCCAGGGGAGCCGATGTGTTGACGTCCCCAACATCTTCAAGCTGCCGAGGTTGAGAACCGTTTGCTTTGGAGAGTTTTTTCCCTCGTCCGAAACCATCATCCTGAGCTAACAAGGCAAACAGGGCAGAGGGCAAGTGCTTTCTCCCAGCTGCTTGAAGATAGCCAGAGCCCTTAGACTTGCAGGCCGCTTCACAGGGCTTTTACAGCCCTCTCTAAGCGGTTTACAGAGCCAGCCTCTGGCCCCCAACAGTCTGGGTCCTCCTTTTGCCCACCGCGGAAGGACGGAAGGCTGAGTCAACCTGGAGCCGGTCAGGCTCGAACTCCTGGCAGTGGGAACGCAGCTTAGCCTGCGGTACTGCATTCTAAGCACTCCGCCACCATGGCTCTGGCAGATAGACTGCCTCTGGTCCTGGAGGCTTCATTAAGAGGGCACAATCTCTCCAGCTTAGAGCCCTGTTTCCTGAATTCAGCCAAGAGGTGCCTCCTTTCCCCGCTCCGAAAGCTGCCCTGCCTCCTTTTTCCCCATTCAGGCGAGGGAAGGACGGGGCGCATCCTGCCTCTTTTCTGGGGCTTCGGAGGGGAAAATCTCTGCCTGCCCCCTCCTCCCCTTCCCCCCCATTGTGGAAATTCACGTTGGTGTTTTATTCGCTGTCAAGTGTCGTTAAGGGGGTGATGAGTCTTCCCTCCGAGCTGAAACATGACGCTCTGCGCAACTGACAGGGCACCGTCTATTTTGAGTTACGGATGCGGTAACTAAAAATCGTGTCCGGGGGAGGAAGAAGCAGCCACCGCACAGCCGGGGTGTGTGTGTGTGGTGGGGGAGGGGAGGGGAGGGGAGGGGGGGAGGATGGCAGCCCCGTCTGGCCAATGGGGAGTTTGGCCACTCTGGGAAAGGCTGGTGGGGACAATTGTTTTATTGTGTGCCGCAGACATCTAGAATGGCACGCTTTGCTTATTATTCATAAAAGTAATTGTAAATCACGCCTGGCCCAGCCGGAGCTCGCAGTCAGGTGCACAAAGCAAAAACAAAAAGAAACCAGGTAATAAAATCAGCACAGAGCAGAGACCGAGGCTGCTTGGAACCAGGGAATGGATGGCTACGATCTGGCCGGCAAGAGCCGTCTCTTTATTAATGGAACGGCCCCCTCCTCCCTCCCTCCCTCCCTCCCTCCCTCCCTCATGAGTCAGCCTGGATTTAAAAGCAAAACCCCGTAAAACACCTCCCCCCCCAGCAACCCCATCTATAGCAGAATAGAATTAGGGTGGCAATCGATCAAAATACTGTTTTTATTGTATTGCCTGAAACTCAAAAGGGATCCAGGGGCTTCCTGTGACCCCGACTGGAAAGGGCCCTGTCCACACCTCCAGCAGCAAAGCTTGGCTGGGGAAATGCAGGTCATCCTCATTTAGTGACCTCAATCGAGACTGGCAACTCTGCCGTTAAGTGAACAGGTTGCTAGGTGAAACCGCGATTGTGTTTGCCACCTTCCTTTGACTTTCTTTTGCTTTGCAGACCCGCAAAGTCGCATAGTGATTGCCTCACCCCCATATGTCACTGCAGTCGCTAAATGAGGCGGTTGCTAAATGGGGACTGTCTGTAGCAGTCCCTCGTGGAAGGAAAAAGCTTCTTATTTTGAGGGCATTGGATCGTAGAGCAAAAGGCTGCTTGGAGAGCCTCATGGGAGAATGAGACCCGACCACAGAAAGCTCTGCTGGGCTCAATCAATGGAGCCTCCATGCCCAGGGGCAGCCTGCTTTACACCTATGCTGGGAGAGGGGTTTACTCCCCGCTCTGATCTGGTTGGGTGCAGGGAACCGGATCAGTCTCTGCTGAGATCTGGCTGGGAATGCCACCGTCTAATGTCGCGATCAGGATCTGGGAGGGGGGAGGGGAAGAGTAGGGGAGAACCCTGGTGTCCATTTCTCACCTGTGGCAACTAGGAAGACCGTCCCAGCGCCATTGTGTGGGACGGAATGACTTCAGATCAATAGATCAGGTGTAAGAAAAGGGGAGATCGATTGTGGAAGGATTCCTCAGGCCGTATTTATAGAGCCCGGAAGCGGCTTCCTTGCGCTTCTCAAGAATCCAGCCGTGGCTTCAGCTGCAGTGTGACAGGCTATGTTCCCGAAAGAAGCAAAGCCCCGTGCTGTGTGTGTGTGTGTGTGTGTGTGTGTGTGTGTGTGTAAGGCGAATTTGCCTGGAATAGCAGAACACAGAAGTTTGCTCTGCAACCTGGGGAGGGGGTCCCTCAAGATCCCCCCAGGACCAGGCTGCTGCCGTTTGAAAAATGGTGCATTCGTTGCCGTGTTTCATGATGCATTCTGATTGCTCATAATTTTGCCGGTGAATTTAGTGTGTTGTAAGCTGATTATTTTGGAGGAACGTAGCTCGGAAGGGCAGCTTTTGAAAAGAACGAAAACCAGCCCTTAAAATCAGAGAAAACCGGCCCTCCCTCGAGGCTTCAGATTGTACTCTGTCATCACACGAACCCCTTTTCGTCCTGAGGCTCTTCCCTGGACACCAGGCTTTGTGCCTCTGCAGAGCAGTTTTGTGGTCAGGCTGGATTGGCACAAGGGTCTGTTGGGGGAGGGGTGGGATTTCTGGGGATCCTCCTGACCACTGATCAGGCCAAGACGGGCCAGGATAAACAGCTTAAGAGAAGAACTTCATCTTCATAAAGAAGAAAAGAGAACTTCATAAAGCATCAAGGAAACGCTTTAACTGAGGAGAAGGGAGAAAGGAGGAGAGGGTGAAGTGGAGAAGAGAGGAAGGAAAAGGAAGGATGGAAGGGAGGGAGGCGGGAAGGAAGGAAGGCTGAAGGAGGAGAAGGAGAAGGAGGTGATGATGACTCACTACAGATGGAGAGACAAAGGGGGACATTATTACTCGACTGTTCTCTTCCTCCATTCGACTTGGCTTCCTCTTCGTCTCCCCAGCTATGAAGGAGTTGCTTTCAAAGCCTGACATTTGTCCAAATCTGAAGGAGCTGGAAACCCAGAAGTGGGACCTTGCCCCACGGGAAAGCACCCGTTTGGGGAAGGGCCCAGGGGTACACCTCGTGGTTGACCCCCCAAAGGCCTGGAGCTCTTCGGGGCTGGGGGCATCTCCCCTCTTCCTGAACCTGCGGAAGAAACCTCGAGGGATGGACCCGTGTGAGCAGCCGGTGCCAAAAGCTGGGCAAGGGCTTGCACTGTGGGTCCAAGTGCCTCTCTTCTCTCTCATGTAGCTTCTTTTCCTCTGCAGAGAGTTAAGGGCTGCAGGCTGTCCCTGAATCTTCTTCCCCAGCCCTGGATGGGTCAAGGCAGGATGTGGGATGCTGCCATGCGCCCTCTTCCCGTCCATCGGCTGAGCTCCCCTTCTTTGTATGGCAGGAAGCTGGACGCTTTCATCTACGACGCGGCAGTGCTGAACTACAAGGCCGGGCGGGACGAAGGCTGCAAGCTGGTGACCATTGGCAGCGGCTACATCTTTGCCACCACGGGCTACGGCATCGCTCTCCAGAAGGGGTCACCCTGGAAGAGGGCCATCGACCTGGCGCTGCTGCAGTTTGTGGGAGACGGTGAGTGGCAGAACGGCCTTCCTTGAAGGAGGTTCCTTCTGTGGAGCCAGGAGGAGGAAGGCGGTCTCTGCGTGATGCCCCGTCCCCTCTTGGCTGAGGTGGCCAGGATTACAATGGGCGAATCCGGAGAGAATGGAGCCTGGAAATCTGCAGGAGCCCCACCATTCCTCCAGTTTCATCCCTCCCCCCACATTGCAACACCCCTCTTAGTTTCTAAGCATGGACAAGATCAGGAAGGGGGACCCCCCCAATTGAGGCTTTGGGAAATTTGCTCTGGTGGGAACTGGAAACGCCCAATAAAAACCTTCTTTTGAGAGTTCTACAAAGTCAGGGAAAAGAGAAGCAGCTGGGTTTTTAATTTAATTTCACTTAATTTTGCTCTGCACAGATGATCCCATCTCTCGAGGTGGGGGGGCATTCTGGCTCCCTCCAACACTGAGAGGGGGAGTTGGGGGTGCCGATCCCCTGCCTTTTGCAGACCTCACGTTCCTCCCATCTGAAAATTGTTTTTTCTTGTCAGGTATTTAATAACCTTTTTGCCTTGTTGCAAAGGGAGGGAATCCATCTTTTCTGTTTTCAACAGCTCCTTTTTTTTTCTATCTGAAAAATGATGACCAAATCATCAACACCCTTTGCTTTTTAAAAAAAGCAGAAAGAAGATAATATTGAGCTTCAGTGCGCCCAGATTCTTTTATTCTTTAATAACTGTGCACAACTCTAGCATTCCAGCTCAGTCGGGGGAATTTCCTTTAACCCTAACCCTAACCCTAAGAGAATGACCTTTTCAAGCCAGATTCTGCTTCTGGAGGGGGAGAGTCTTGGTGACCAGATCTCCCTAAGGAATCCTTGAACTCAATGTCCTTCGTGTCACCCTCCCTTCCTCTAGCTTTGGATGTCCATCTCTCTGACCTCGGCTGGCCTTTCTTTCTAGGGGAAATGGAAGAGCTGGAAACCCTCTGGCTGACCGGTATTTGCCACAATGAGAAGAACGAGGTCATGAGCAGCCAGCTGGACATCGACAACATGGCGGGCGTGTTTTACATGCTGGCCGCCGCCATGGCGCTCAGCCTGATCACCTTCGTGTGGGAGCATCTGTTTTACTGGAAACTCCGCTTCTGCTTCACTGGGATGTGCTCCGACCGGCCAGGGCTGCTGTTTTCCATCAGCCGGGTGAGCGTGGACACGAGTCGTGCTCAGGAAGGGTCGGGATCCAAAGAAGGGCTGCTTGCTCTCTGGGCCCCTGTTTGTAAATGTAGTGGGGAGCAAACCAGAAGAGCCTCTGAAGGGTTTCTCTCTCCGGAGGATGATGGGATGATGGCAATAATAGCAATAATTTACCTGCCGTGGCTCCCAGCCACTCTGAGTGGCCGTTGAAGGACGTGCTTCAAGGGAGCTCATCCTTTCCGGGTACAAGTGATTCTTGAAAAAATGGGCAAAACAGGAGGATTCAGTCCGATCTCAGACAAGGGGAGGGGAGGGGAGGATTTTAAGGAAAGAGCCTTATACAGCCCCACTGGCCAAAACGGGTTTCGTTCCAGGACCCCAAAGCTGCCAGTGTATCTTGAATGTTCATGTATTCAGCAGCAGAGCACCTTGAGCAGATCTTCCCAATTAATTAGGCTGCTTCACTAAGTGTAATTAGCATTCTGAATGAAGTTACTTGTCCCTGAGAACGCAAACTGGTTGGGGTTTATTTTTAACACTTTCACCAGTGGCTTCCTACTTCCAAATAAGTTGGTTTAAATGCAAGTTGTTTAAACTCGGAGCAGTGTCTGGGTTGATGTCCTTTAATTGGTTAATTGACTCTGCGGTTCTGTTCTTGTCAAAAATTATACAGAAATAATTGGATGGAGCTACTCAGCCGTAGAGCTAATTATCCCAGAACAAGGAAGGAAGACTTCAAGCATTGTGTCACTCAAACAGAACCCGCCTTTTCTGCTGGTTTGAGGCATTTCTTAGGATGTAGCCGGCACCTGCGTGGTGGGTGATTTTATGGGTTCCTCCCACCCACTCAGCCTGGCCGCTGTTGAGAGAGGCGGCCAAACCAACAAAAACTAGAGTGCTTTGTTAGGAGCGATTATGTAGTTAGGTAGCTAGTTACTTCTGAGTACAGGTGTTACTACTCAGAAATTCTTGAAGATGGACAATATGGGGGAAGAGATTTCCTTCCTCCTGGACTCTCCATCTAACGGTACCTGATTTCCGTTTCTCTCTTGGTTTAATTCTCAAGATGGTCAGTGTGAAGAGTCAGTTTACTTAAGTTGAGCGCCCCCTGATAACGAAGACTCTGCACCAAGCTTACAAGGGTACAGTGTCCCCCCCCTCCCCCCCGCTGTTTAAAAATCCAGGTTTTAAATGTGCATTAAATTCAAACGATGCCTCCAAGAGTGGCACATAGGAAGTGTTTTCCCCTAGTTCCTCCAAAGAATTGGAGACTGAACCCAGCTCTCTTTCCCGTTGCTTCCCCTGCAGGGTATCTACAGTTGCATCCATGGGGTCCACATTGAGGAGAAGAAAAAGTCTCCCCACTTCACCCTGACCAGTTCTCAGACCAACATGTTGAAGCTCCTGCAGACGGCCAAGAATATGACCAATGTGAACCCCGGGCGGATCAATTCCCCGCAAAGAGCAGCTGAATTCATCCGCCGTGGATCGTTGATGATGGACCTGATGATGGAAAAGGGCAGTTTCATCTTCTCGGACAGCAACCGCCCTCTGACCCCCAAGGAGAACATCTTCAGCGACAACACGAACGAGCTGCAGACCTTCCCTGCTAACCGCCACCCGGATAATCTCAACAACTACGTCTTCCAAGGGCCGCACCCACTCACGCTGCACGAGTCCAACCCGAATACGGTGGAGGTGGCCATGGCGGCCGAGGGCAAGGAGAGCTCCCGCCCGAGGCAGCTATGGAAGAAATCGCTGGAATCTCTGCGCCAAGACTCCCTCCGGCAGAGTCACGGTTCTCAGAGGGACGATGGCACGGGGGAAAGCCGGCGGCACTCCCTGAAAGGTCCCAGGTACCTCCCTGAAGACGTCCACTCAGACGTCTCCGACTCCTCCAGCAGAGCCGCTGGCCACGCAGAGGGGGAGAGCAACAGCAAGCCCCCCAAGACCAAGGACAACGCGAAGAAGAGGCCTGCATCGAAGTATCCCAAGGATTGCAGCGAGGTGGAGCTGACCTACCTGAAGAGCAAGCAGTCCTTACCCCGGGACAAAATCTACATCATTGATGCAGACAAACAGCACAGTTTCCACCTTGATGTTTCCCCAGAGTATGTGGAGAACATTATCCTTCCTGAGTCGGCTGACTTTTCCAATCTTTATCAGGATCGCAACGACAGCTACCGGGCCCCCGAGCAGAGCAACCAGATCCCCTTGACCAACGAGGAAAGTCTTCCAAGTAACGGCCAGTACAAGCTCTACCCAAAGCACTACAGCACGAAAGACAAAAACGTGGCCTACGGCGAAGCAAACGAGCGATACCGGCAGAAGGCCACGCACTGCCGGAGTTGCCTGACCAGCCTGCCCAGTTACGCGGGGCACTACTTGAGCCGCTCACCCTACCGGTGCGCCGCCTGCGTGCGGATGGGCAGCCTCTATGACATTGAGGAGGGCCAGATGCTGCAGAGCCCTGCCCACTCCGGGCCCCGGGAAGAACTGTGCCAGCAGGACTGGGCCCAGGCGGAGAAGAGCCAGCCGCCCCGGAAGAGCAAGCTGCAAATCAGCAGGCAGCGTTCGTTCGACAACCTCTTCAGTAAGCATCGGGACGGCAATGGGGGCAGAACGGCTCGCAGCATCAGTCTGAAAGAGAAGGAGAGGCTTCTGGAAGGGGGCCCCTACGCCACCCTCTTCAGGGCTCCCCAAAGCAAACACTCGAGCGGCAAGCTCCCGCTCTTCTCACGCACGTTGGACGACGGTAAGAGGATCAAGTCGCTGTACCTGGAGTGCTCAGCAGAGAACCCTTTTCTGCGTTCTTACTGTGACGACCAGCACTTGGTCCTGGCGCCGAGTCCCACCGGCCTGCACAGACAGCCGGCCTATGACAGCGTCTCCAGGTCGTCGGTCAAATCGGCAGCCTCGTACTGTTCCAGAGATGGCCGGGTCCACAACGACGCGTGGGTTTCGGAGCACGGGATGCCTTACGTGGCCACTCAGAACAGCCTGTACTCTGCTCCACGAGGGTTAGACTCCTGCAGCGACAGACGGGTCTATAAGAAGATGCCCAGCCTGGAGTCGGACGTGTAGCCCTGACCTCTGGGGGGACATAGTTGCCAGAGGCCAAAGGGGGCGGCCCTTAGCAGAGCGTTGGAGGAGGGGGAAGAGACCGGTTGCCTTGCGTAGATCCCAGTCCCATGTGCTTAGTTCCACCAGAGAGAAGGAGCAGGAAGGGGCCGTGGGAAGGGACAGCCCACTCCCCAGGGGCCACTGCGTGGACTACACTACCCATAGTTCTGTCTCCCCCTCCCCCGTCAATTAAGTTTGGTGAAAAATCTCTTCTGCCCCAAGCAGAGTTCCAATTCTTGATCCAAAGGAATAGCCATGCAAAGGAAGGCCGATCTGTAGAGCAGATTTGCCCCCCCTCCCAGGGATGGTTGAAAGCAGGACACGAGTGGCCACCCTGGATGGTCACTGCATTGGGAAAAAGCTGCGCCCCCTGTTGGCAACTATGTTGTTTTTCTACCAGGATGGTTCTTTTGCCCCGTCGGTTGGACTCCGTCCTCCTAGCACTTTCGCCCTCTGTAATTCTGCCCTCCCAAAATTTTATTTTTTAACGGAGAATAAGCAATATGGTATGCATGTACTTTGACACAGAACAAAAGCTAAACAAAACAAAAAGCAAGTTTAAGAATGCGTTTGCACACTTACCGTGGTAAGACTTATCCAAGAGATTAGAAAGATAGTCCTTTTTTAAACGAACAACTATCTATCGCTATAGCTCTATGATTTAGCCTCATATTTATTTTTAAACACAGACAAAAGAAAGCAAAAAAACAAAAAAACAAAAAAAAACCAAACCTCAGGGCCCATGAATGGAATCAATATTGTCTTCATCTGTCTCTGTCTTGCAGAGAGCCAACTGCAATTCACCCTGGACTCCTCCTCCTCTTCCTCCTCCTCCTCCTCCTCCTCCAGATCCCATGGCAAGGAAAGACACTGCTGAGGTGGGTCACTGGCTCCACACTGGGCCTTCAACCAGGAATAGGGGTCTGGGGGCTTGTCTCAGGAAAGGAGGGCCAGTGACCCCCTCCTGCTCCCGTCTAAGAGAGAGATCCTGTAGTGGCCGGGTGCCCTGGGAGAGGCCGGTGGGGTCTTCTTGGACCAGCTGCCAATCCGGAGAAGGTCCTGAGCCTAAACATCCAGCAGCCCAGACAGGAACCAGATGCAGGAAGGTCTCTGTGGCAGAGATGACCCCGGTGGAGGGTCTGGAAGCCTGGGATTTATTCTCGTATTTCTTCCGAAGTAGAGCCAGTTGGGTACCCCCCAAATTAGCACGTGAGGACACCCCCCCATCGCTTGTTCTTTTGGGTGATGCTAAGCGTTGGTTTGCACATTTCTGTTCCCACAACTTCCTTCTTCCTGACCCTGTGGGTTTCGCGTTAGACAGGAGGTGAGCAGGCAGCCCAGGACTTTCCTTGGCAAGGAAGAGAAGGGGAAAGCCTTTGTCCGGCTGGATCCTCTGTCTGATGTTGCACTGCCAGGTGTTGTGGGATTAGGGCAGTGGAAAGGATCTCGGGGGCTTTTGAGGTGGGAGGTGGGGATGAAGGGAGCCATCAGCCAGGGAGGCTCGTCCCAATTGCTGCATTGGGGTCTGAGGCTCATCGAGCGGGAGGAGCCGTTTCTGGGAGATTGTCCCCTGATGGTGGAAGTCATGGCCTTTTGCTCCAGTTTTGAAAAGATGGGCATTGTTTGCGCTTTAGGGACAGACCTGGATCGGAAGGAAGCCGGGGCTGCTGTTACAGGAAGCAGCGCTCGAGTCTCAAAGGAATCTTGTTGCTTTGGGAATGATAAGAGTAGATCCCAATGTGGTCACAGCATCTAGGGAAAACTCTTCCCTCGAGTGGAAGACCATAATTCCAGTGAAAAGCAGGGGGATCAGGGACGGAGTGGTTTGGAGGCTTTAGAACCTCTTCTTGTAAACAATGGAGCTTCAACCTGAAGCTGAGGTGTCCCTTCAGCCCCTGCAGGACCAACCTTGTCATGTCTGGAGACACCCTTGGTCCCTCTTCTTTCTCTGGTGAGACAAATTCGGAGCAGAACCCCAAAACAAGAGGAGGTGCTGGAATCCTCAGTGGCCCAAGGGGTTGGACCTGTTGGATGATGGTTTCTGTGCCCCATCGCTTTGTTTTATTTCACAGCTCATTCTGCAGCCGAATTAGTTTGCTGGAACTGCACTGCCCAGCTTCACACCTAGAAGCTCTTCATCCCCGTGGAAGGAAAGCATTTTTCAGTTTTAGTGCAGGGGGCAGATACGTCGGCACAGCGCGTAGACCTCATAATCTTAACTCCACACCCAAGGTTTCCATGTGTTTGCGTCCGTCTCAATGGTGGTATCTCAGGGCTTAATAGTATCTGTCTTTTTGTCTCCTCACCTTGATTCAAAATACACACAGAAAGGCACTTCCATTAAAACAGCCGCAACTTATAATGTTGACTGCCCACTTCTTAATATCCAAGGCCAACAGTCATATGTATGGAACGGACTTCACTGGGAGGAGAATGTCTCACCTAGCTTGGGAGCAGCTCTGTAATGATGAGTTACTTTGTTTTCAGAATATCACGATCATCTGTCTGTATGTTTGGAACCGGCGTCAATTTCTCTAAACAAGTTTATTTTAAATGTGTAATATATGCACCTAACTTGCATAACCTTGGAGTAGCAAGGAGAACATCACCCAAGTCTTCCTAAATTAGGGACCCACTCTGGGTTTGGTCTGGGGTGGATTTACACACTCGCGTTCCAGGCAACCTTATAAAACCTGCACTGTGAATACAGGTCAGTTCAACACGAAAAGCAGGAAGAGAAACCAGAAGGTTTCAGGCCTCCGTTGGCCATCCTGCTCCAGCTTCCGTTGCAGGGTGGGGGACTCTGGGGCGTATGGAAAAACACGGGGTCTGAAGTAGAGAAGAGGGGTGAGGTTGGGCTCCACGGCCTGAATGAGAACCGCCAGGGAAGGGACCCAATCCACTGCTTTTCAGCATCGCTGCTGAAGAGACAGGCCCAGCAGGAGTCTCCTGCTTGAGCAGGGGGTTGGACTAGAAGACCTTCAAGGCCCCTTCCAACTCCGTTAGTCTGAGTCTCTCGCTACAGGCAGCCTCGGGTCTCCTGGTGACCTCTTGATCTTTGAGAATCGGTTAGTCCTTCTGGACACGTGGCCTTCAGCTGGCTTTCTCTTCAAGGAAGGTCAGCATTTCGCTGAAGAACATTATTCTATAGATTTATTTATTTATTTACCAAATTTATATGGCCGCCCATCTCATGGAAAGTGTCTCTAGGCGGCGTACAACAGATAGATCATCTCAGGGTTGAAACGAAGAAATGGAGGGTTGGGAAGCTGCAGTTTTCATGTAGAAACTTCTGCAGTTCCGGAAAGCCATGTTTACATGTTGTTCTCTCTTGGGGGTGGGGGTGGTGAGAGAAATGGGGTGGCCCCCTTGGGCGAGGCAGACCGAAGGTCTGGTCCAACGGCTCCTGTTCTGGGAGAAGAGCCTGGGCTTCATCATTTCAAACCATCCATCCTCCCTCGGGCTACCTGAACTCGTAGGTGGAATCTCTCCTGGTGAAGCGGTGGTTGTGTATTCCGTCTCAGTGTCAGTTCTTAAGAAAGAATCCATGTAGGGCCTGGGGCAGAGATTAAGCGGAACCTCCCTGATTCATCCGCTAAACATTTCTGTCAAGATCTCCAAAATGTTCCTGGGTGGCAGGATCTCCTTGGTCCTGAATCTTCAGCGAACGGGTCTTTTCAGAGAGAAATCTCCGGGGGGTGGTGGTTTCAGAAAGAAAAACTGCCCAGATCCTACATTGGTCTGCTGAAAACACAGCTGGTTGGCTCAGATAACAGCCAAGCATCTGCCTTTCGGAAATCCAATAAATCTGTTAGATAGTTGTAATATCCTCCCCCCCTCCACACACACACACACCAAAGTTTCTTTCTAGCACTGTTTACTGTTACATCCTTGAGAGAATAATTCCTCAGAGGTTCAAGTGTTTGGATGTCAAATTGGTACATCGCACTACACGGGCAGAGAAATCTCTAGCTGGCTCAGTGGTAAATAGAGCATTTTGCAGATTGTGAGAAGTGCACATAACAACTCTTCCCCTCCCCCCCAAAGAGAAAATTTGGGTAGAGTCATGTGTGTAACTTAATTTTTCAATACTCCATTTCAAATGAATACAAGCCCTTGTTTGCTAGGGAGTCAATTGTGACCCCAAAATGCGACCCTCCCCCACAACCCAAAGGAGAAAACCTCTCCTAGACAGAACAGCCTAACCCTTCATACACAGTACTCTTGGTTATACGTGTACTGCTAAGTGCATTCGAAGTACAATTAAGGTGACCACAATGCTTGGCATTGGCATCTATCAAGCCACCCTCCTCAGCTGGCACCCACCAGATGTGCGAGGCCTGGAGCTCTAAAAATACTAGGGGTCAATTCCTTGCGCATCTGAGGAGGGGCTGGGGAGATTACAAAAGAGTTTGCCATTTCGGAATACAATTTGCATAGTGTGTATATGATGGTGAAAAACCAGATCACAAAGAACCAAATGGGAAGCTGGCCAATTCACCATTTCATGTATAAACATATGGTTGGGTCAATTTAACTCAACGCCATCGCATTACAACAATTTCTGTGTTGAGTTTTTTTCTGTTGTTAATATTTGAAGGACGGGGACTTCTGGGCAATCTCTTTTGTACCTGCCAAATGGGTTCTTCTGGGAGGTGCCCTCCCGAATTGATACACTCACAAATAACCAATTCATCCCCATGACATCCAAGTTGACCCATTGAGTTCTTTTGTGATTCTGACCTACACACCCTCTAAATTGTATTAAATAGATATGAAGACTCACTCCTGTGACTCGTTCTGTTTCGATCTCTTTGGACCCGTCGGTTCTGATGCATTTTTGTCCTTTGGAGCCTGTTCTCAGGGCTTCTGGAGGTGCTTGTCCTACAGCTTGTTCAGAGGAAGCATTGAGCAGACGCGTCTCCTGGTGAGCATCCTTGTACGATATTCATGTATCCAAGCACCTGCTTGTTGCATTCATGTATTATGCATTTTAGATGCACATGCACACCAACGTAGGTGTTTAAATACACAGGAAGTCTTTACTGGACTCACTTTACTAAAAGCCAGAATTGATACGACAGTCCTATCCCTGGAGGCCACCTGGAAGGATCCATTACATGTTCAAATCAATACTTGGTATTGATGTCATCCAGCAGCTAACCTACATTGTGTGAGTTGGCTATCAGAAGTGGAGCATAAGCATTTTCAACACACAAAGCAGCAGTTATAGGTTTTAGAACTCAACCATTTTAAAATATGCACCCACACTCAAAGGATCATGAATGAACAATCTGACCATCCACAATTGTAGATGTCTTTAAAAATCTTACATCAATAGTTGGATCTGCTGGTCTAAAACAGATACAGGATTCAGGTAAAATTTTGTTTGTTTGTTTCTCTGTTCTGTACACTCAACGGCAGTTTTATCTTCATCTGCATATTTAAACCCAAATGCATGACTAAGCACTTAATACTGTATAAATAATATTTTGAGACATATCTACAAAAACAAACCCACAAATGTTTGCTTTAAACTTTTGTTGATAGAAAAAAAGTATATAATGACTACTATTGTCTTCAAATTGTATTGTATTTTTCATTTTTGTTAATGATAATGAAGAGAAGAGAGAGAATGAGAGAAAGATGCTAAGGGAGTGATGGAACTGAGTGTTTGCCTATGCTGAAATGTACATACCTGTCAGAGAAAACACGTGCCAAGTATAACAAAATGTACAAAATGTAAATACATGAAAAATTTCATTTTTCTAATAAAGATAATTTCTGCCACTTGATACCAAAATAAGGGGCTGGGGAGGGAAGGAGATCTCGGTCATTCTGTTTTTATAGTGGTTTTCTTCTTCTGTATTCATTGCTGGAGCCCCCAAAATGCCGAGAACGCTGGGTAAGAAGTCCCAGGGGGTTCTGAGTGATGGGCTGGGCTAGTCTGAATATCCTCCGGGTTGATTCCATCATTTCTCCATCTTGTCAAAGCTCAATCTTGACTTGTTCACTAGAGTTGCAAGGAAGAACATGCTGAGTTCCTAAGCATGTAAGGTTTGTGTGTGAGCCTATAAAATTAGGGAGGTATGGGTCCTGCAAACCCCGGATCTATCCCCACGAGCCCTGGAAAGGTATTTTCCAGTTCATAACTTCTGGAGAAGTGCTGGGAAGCCAATCAGAGAAGGTCCGAAGGATTTTGGCAGCAGTGATGCCTCCAGCAGAGATGGGCTGCAGAGTTCTTAAATCAGAGAAGGGCATCTGGCTGCTCTTGGCTGTGGGCTTTGGGGAAACGTAGTGGCTTCATTGAGCCAAGAGAACAGCAAGAAGGATCACTGGTCAAGGGGAGAAGGAATGGCAGAAACCCCTTGGCACTCTCCTGCCAAGTTTATTATGAATTCTAAAACAATTTCACCAAAAATAACAACAGTAGACTCTAGTGAAAGGAGGGTCGCTTTGTTCTAAGATGTCCATAAAATGCAGCTACTATTGATTTCTTGGTCTATAGAGATTCTCAGTCATCCAGGTTGTCTATGGTTGTCCCAAAGGTGCTTTTTCAAGAGGCAACTGGACTTTCTGGTTTTTCCCCTTGAAAATGTTTCCCTTCTCATTCAAGAAGCTTCCTCAATTCTGAACTGAAGAACTGAAGAAGCTTCTTGGATGAGAAGTGAAAAAGCACCTTTGGGACATTAATTCCTGTCTTCTTTCAGATGTTTCTCCAAAAAGTTTGGCCTCCCAAGATTTTTTGCTATTAATGGTTGTGTTTATATTCACAAGAAGGACGTCAACAAAAGCTCCCGTTGGATAAATTGTCTCTGCACTTGATCGTGCAGGAAAAAACCCTCTTGGCCATCCAGCCAGTCCAGTTGTTTTATGTCTCACTGTGGCAAACACCGGAATGACCTCAAACGGAGCATTGCATCCCATCAAAGCAGACGGCCAAGTTCTGCACCAAATCTGAAATAAGGTCGGACGTATTACTGGAGCAGATCTACATATAAAAAGCAACACCTTTTCTGAACTGGCTTTTTTCCATCCAAAGGAGATTTAAACCGACTGTAAACCAACTGCCACAAAGCCAAACAGATTTACACAACAATTCACAGGCTGTTGGCTGCTTCATGTTTACGGAAATAACCTTTTGCAGAGAAGAAACAGAAAGACAGTACCAAGAGCCTTGGTACTACAGTGGTTTAAAGCACCCTGTTATTAACACAGCTGCCTGCAATTTACTGCTGGTTCGAATCTCTCCAAGGCTCAAGGTTGACTCAGCCTTCCATCCTTTCTAAGGTAGGTTAAATGAGGACCCAGTTTGTGGGGGCAATAAGCTGACTTTGTATAAATATACAAAAGTATGAAGGCTATTGCTTAACGCACTGTAAGCCGCCCTGAGTCTCCGGAGAAGGGCGGCATATAAATCAAATTAAAAAAAAAAAAAAAAAAGGACTAAATTTTCTCTCCTGTGTGGAAAAAGGTGCTTTCCTTGCTGTGTTGATGCAACACAATAAATCATAATAAGATTTGTGGCTTAATTTGTGCAAACCAATTACTGTGGTTTGCAAATGACATTGTTGGGCTTAGCGTGTTGCATAAACTCCGTCTACTATGGATCCTTTTAGAAATGGTATTTAAGAAAACAGGCCACCCTTGAAAAGGAGGAGGAGCTTTGGCCCCAGAGGGTCCTTTGCTGTATTTTAACGATGGTGGAAGTGGTAAAACACAAGCCTGCTCCAAAACGGTTCCGGCTCCATGGATTCTCCAGCAGTCCAGATGCCGGCTGATCCCTGGAAACGGAGGAAAAATACAGCCATTCAAGGTATTAAATATTCCATTTGCTACTAATGGGAGCCATCGGCTCACTTCCCTCCAGGAGCTGGGCCAAGCAGGTCAAACACAGTGAAAGTTGGACAGTCCAATATGTAGGGGAGAGAGAGAGAAAATATAAATTTTCTTTTACTAAAGCTTTTGTTACAACAGATACAAAAGTAAAATTCTCTGGAGCGTCAGTTTTGGAGTTTTTCTGCTTCATCCTGTCTCTGGTCTTAATGAGAAGTTTAGTGTTAACCAATGAGAAGAATCACACCTATTTTTGAGATATAAAAATAGTAACCATTTGGCCAAAGGACGGGACAAATGGCTTTCTCACAATTGGGAAAAAACCCACCTTTTATATTAGGCTGTGCGTCGCTGTCCAGGTGCTGAAACGCAGAGGACCAAACATTTGAAAATGTAGAAATCATTGTGATGGTATTGTGTTTCTATTTTTAATGAGCCGGATTGCAATTCTTGGCAGTTCAGTCCAAAGAGATTTTCTGGTGTTCAGTGACATATGCTCCCTTGCCAATGCTCAGAGCATTACAGGTGTGTCTGTGGTAAATTTGAACCGAACACTTGCAGAAATGGGGCAGCCGTTTGGGAACCAGGAATCTGGAATGGAAACAAAAAGCAGGTTGGAGATCATCAGGTTCAGCAAGGACAGTCCTGCACTGGGACTGGGACATCTGTTAGAGGTTTCAGCCTGGAGGGCCGCTTGGAGTCCTGCTGGACTTGGTGGCTCAAATGACTCCACACCTGTCTCCCCCCTCAGGAAGCCTAAAATAGGAGGCCATTGTCCCATGAGAAGAAGAGATGACAGGAGCAGTTCCCCAAAGAATTGAATGGGCCCCAGTTCTCTCTGATGGCAAGGAGAAGTCTTACTGTACTTGCTGGCCACTACTAGAGATGGGGTTTGGGTCAATGCAGGGCCCCCAATCAAGACAAGGAGCTGAAGAAGAGCTGACCTTACCTGGCCTGCATCAGAGTCTTCACACCAGGCATTGTATGTGGTGAGAAATCCAAAGTATTCCCTGAAGTGTGCTATGGAGCCCCTCGGATTGGCAAAAGCTTCTGGTTCCAGTGGCTTTCCAGAGGGCAGGCGGGCATCCTTACCAACCTGGCAGGGCCAGGAAGTCCACAGAAGTTGAGTTTGATGGACAGAAAAGTTTTCTCTACATCTATTTCTAGGCATTTTCTTGTTAGCTCCATGATCAAAGGGAGCTTGCTAATCCAGCAGTTCTATGCAAGGCGCTGAGACAGACAATGAACCAATCAATGGGCTTGTAGACTAGGAGAGCTTTGCAGCCTGGCAAAGACGCAGCTGCGACTGAGCTCGGCAAACGTCTCCTTTTTGCACCTTGGGATTTAATCGCCTGCTCTTTTGAAATAAAGAGGACGCATTTAGAGCCTTCTACCTCTGCACGTGGGCTTTGAAAAAACTCCCGGCTCCGACTCGGAGGCCGAATGAAGGCAGCTGAAATGCGGCTTCATCTCCTTCTTTGAATGCCTGAAACTCAATTGGACCCGATAAGATCAGCCCGGAGAACTTTTCAGCTGGGGTTTAATCACCTCTCAAGCAATTTCCCATTACGGGCCTCCGCACCTCCCATCGCGTCCACCCGTGTCCTCCACTATTGTTCTCGGCAGTCGTGTAATTCTCTTCGGTCGCAGTTGTGTAATTGTCAAGCTTTCAGCTCCACGTCCTCCCTGATTCATTGGCCTCTTCTGGAGCCCTTCACAATGGGCCTTTGACAGATCGTTTCGTACGGTAACAAAAAGAGCGTCAGCTGCTGAATTAGTTCAGATGGGCATAAATCCATTCCACACCAAACGAGCAACCTGGAGCAGCTGCTGCTTCAGGAGGTGAGTGCCAGGTGTCTCTGCTAACCCAAAGCCACGTTCGGCCCCAGGACCGACTGGGCTCCCTTTGACAGCCCTGCTTGGATCCGGAGGGGGGAAAGAGCGGACAAGCCCCAACTGTTCAGCACCAGCCGGAGCAAAAGAGCTGCAGCCTGGAGCCCATTGAAGGCCAGGGAGAGAGACCACAGCTAGTAAACCTCTTGCCTTTCTTTCTGCCTTGGGTCAAAAACCGGCCTCTCTCTCCCAACAATCCATCCTCCAGGCTGTCAGAGTGATTGAAGTTTTCTTTTTAGATTTCTCTTGGGGGCATTTTTGAACTTCCTTCCTTGCTGCTGTTATGGGGTGGCTGTGATGCTTCTCCCCACTGCTCTGCAGACTCCCTGACTGCTCCTAACCACCAGTCAGTCAGGCTGGCTGAGCCTTCGTGGTGGGTTCAGTGTGCTGTATGAACCCAGCTCGTTGGGGCTGACCAGAGGGAATGCTGGGGCCCAACTGAGGGCGAGCCCCAGACCTTGCCCTTCAATGGCAGAGGTTGAATGGAAGACTGGGTGGATGGGGGGCTGCCCAGCAAAAGTCATTCCTCTTACTCCTTCAGCAAAAACAAGCAACTTCTCGAGAAATCTCCATGGTTTCCCTTGAAAGAAAAAAAAAGGGAGGGGAAACAACTCCCCCCTCCCACTTCCCCATGAAGTTGAATGGGAAAATTGGGGGGGGGAAATTGGGATTGAGGCACTACCCGTTTTTACCCCCAGCAGGAAGAGACCCGAGATGTTCGTATTACTTAGCCAGTTTTTAGGCTGCATTCCTGCCCGGCGATCGTCCATGCTAAGCTAGAGAAATATCAGAACTAGGTGATGCAGGCACCTCCTGTCCTACAAGAAAAAAACAAAACTAAACAAAAAATCTCCAGCATAGAAAATTAGGACATTACCAAAGCCTTCCGTCATTCATTGTCTTAGCACAAAATGGCCGGGATTTGTTTTGATCTGCAGTGGCAGAAAGCGCACCCCCCCCACCCAATGCACACAAGCTGATTTTCAGAGGAAGTGATTTCAGAAATAAAAAGGGGCTCCAAACTGTTCTTGGAGCTGCAGGTCCCTTCTGTGGCCTCCTTC